CTTCTTTTTAATAATGAAAATCCACAGAGTTTACAATATTCTCAGATACACCTAGTCTGGCAAACATCACGGACCTCCACGTATATGTGAATTCACACACGAGCTAGCAGCACCTCAGTGCTGGCTGTCCCTCTTTGGCACTGAAACACGATAATTTATTAAGCTTCGAAACTTAATAAGTGTGCACAAATATCATGCAAACGTTAGGACCGTACTCACAAACAGAAAGTGTATTAGAGACGCAGACTTATACAAAACATTTTGTAAACAAAAGGGAAGGGGTTATTTTCTGTACAAAATATGCAGGTTTCTCGCTCTCTCTCTCTCTCTTTTTTTTTAATAATCTGTAAGATGCATCATACTTCTGGCATTTTCAAAAAGTGAAAACTGTATAAAAATAAATATTCTATGTACAAAACACACACAGGCCAATCCAAGGTTAGAGGCATCACTGCAAAACAAAATCAAAACAACGTTCGGTTAGTTTCAAGGGGTCTTTGGATACTTCCCTCCTTGAAAGAAAGGGGGCGTATCTCATCCTAAATTGCATGAGGGCTCTTGATAGGGAAACTGAGGAATCATAAGGCTCCTAGTGGGAAGAAACTCAGTGGACTTCAAGCCCCCTGGTGGTGGGAAACACAATCTTCACCTTTCAGTCATTTCCCCTTGTTCCCACCAGAGGGCACTCTCTGTGCTGTCTTAGAGGCCAGGTTGATCTCTGCAAGGTCCCAGGGAGTGAATAGCCAAGAGGGCCTCTAGTTGCTTCTTAAGGTGTCATGGTCCTTTTTTTAAAAAAATTATCATCATTATTATTATTGGCAGCACTGGGGATTGAACCCAGGGATTCTTTACCACTGAGCTACATCCTCAGACCTTTCCAATTTTTTGAGACAGGGTCTCCTAAATTATCCAGCTGGCCTTGACCTTGCCATCCTCCTCCTGCCTCAACCTTGAATGTAGATGGGATCACAGGCCTGTGCCACTCTGCCTGGCTCTGTTGTAGGTGTGGGTAGTGGCTGTGGTTCCTCTGTTAAGCTCAAGTATTTCAATTTCCTGACAACTGGCAGCTAACTGAAACAAGAAAATATTTTTTTCTTTTTTTTAGGAGGAAAAGGGCCTGGAGGTCTTACAGGACACACTCCTTACCTGCTTCCGTGAAGCTTTAACTAGGTCTTTCTGGAACTGGACAAGAGGGTGAGTTTTGGTGTGAGGGGCAGATTCTTGGGGAGGCATCTCCCTTGAATATTGGGCTTTTCCTGTGTTTGTTAGGGGGGCACCCCCGGCAAGTGGGTATTCAGCCTAGTGCATAACGTCTCCATGGTTTCGCTGCTTTTACCCAACCCTGTGAGCTAATGAGCATCTGAGCATCGCACGGAGGAGCTTATTTGTCTCCTTGTAAGTGTGGCTCTGCCATCCCCGAAACAGGACTGGACTAGCAAAGCACCAACTCCCTAGCAGCTTGGGCTTGGAACTTTAAGAAGCAACACACTAATACCTTGAGAAATTGGTGGAGGAGGGCTGGTGGAGGATGTTGCACGGGGCAACGCGGTTGCTGCTACCTATGCTGGGGACGCGGGGGGGGGGCTTCCGGATCTGTAGGTCAGTGGCCCTTAGGCGGGGAGTCCTGTGCCTTGGGGAGTGCTGGCTGGGTGGGGGATCTCATGGAAGAGCTGGCTCTGTGGCCTCAGAGTGCTTCATGATGGCAAAGGCCAAGGCAAGTGTGAGTAAGTGAAATGTCATTGTTGGTGGGGACTCTGGGAACCCAGAAGAGGCTGGGCTGCATGGGGCACTTGAGCAGACACAAGGCCCTGACAGCTCAAGTTCAGGGAGAAGCGCAGGGTAGTGAGCCAGGCAATCCAGAGGCATAGAAGCCATGTGAGTTGAGAGTTTGGGCAGCGTAGATGTTTTACATCTGGATAAATACCATTATATGGCTTAAATGACCTCATCTGAATGCCGCAAGAGCAGGCATTGGCAATCTATTTCAAAACACGGCCCGGAGCTCCTACGTCTGGGTGGTACATGGAAATTCCATGCATTGGGGTTTGCAGACACCTTAAAAAGCATTTTAAAATGTCCTCTGAGGGCAGCAGCACCTGGGATGTTTAGCAGGCACCCTGCCTTTGAAGTAGGACTTTTCCCCACCCTGGTCTTCCTGCCTCATCTGTGGAAAGACAGAATGGAAGCACTGCAAACTTTAAGGCACCATGGGGGAGGGCAGTAGACCCCTGTCCCCAGGCAGCGCAAGCCTGAGAAGCTTACCTTGTTCCAGCAGCCCTGGACTGGTAAGCCGTCTTCACCCTGCAAGGAGAAGGGAAGCAGAGCCTCAGACTCAGGCCAAGCAAGCAGGGCAGGGGTAAAAAGAGCCTCAAACCTTCCAGCCAATGATCAGACACGGCCCACCCACTATTGCCTATTTCTTCTCTCTGCTTGAGGTCAGAACCTTGCAAGGGCATGGGAAACCGATGCAGTTGTTTTTGTTTTGACATTGACATTGGCTAAGGTCACATGTACCTGCAGTGCAAGGACAAGAGGGGCTGTCCAAACCTGTGCAGTCAGCAAGCACAGATGTCCCTGAGTACCCTGAGAGGCAATCTCTGCTCCAGCTCTATAAAGTGCTGGATGCTCAAGTCACCTTGCACTTGGGCCTTAATTTCTTCCTCTGCAAAACCTGGGCAAGGGGAGATATGCAATGAGGGTCCCAGCCCACCCACTCCCTGATCTCTTACTTATCTCTCTTCCTAAGCACAGGAGGACATCTAGACAGTTCCATGAAGGTCAGTGGGTAGGTTGGAGTTCAAGGGACAAGCAGCCTCAGGGGCATTGCAATGTGACCCAGAGATGTCTTCAGCTAGAGGACAGAGTGTTCTGGCCTGGCCTTGGACATTGCTGGGTATTTGGGGCAAAATGCTATAGCAGAGTACACAGCAACTGCTCATTGTGGTAACCATGGAGCACCTTGTAACCTCAGGATGTTCTGCCCACAGTGACGGACTCTTCCAGTCTTCTGGCCTAACATCCTGTTCTTTCTTGAATACCCCAGGGGAACTTAGAGTCTTCTAGAGGCAAGGTGGGGAGGGTGGAGCTGAACCCAGGGCAGGCCTAGGGAGGCAGTCCAGACTCCAGAACTTCAGGTTCCAGGGCAGAGACAGAGGCAGCCCCGGGGTTTCTGGGGACTGGAGCAAGTGCTCAGTATTCAGGACTCCTCGGTGCCCCGGGCCCACTTCCCCTACCCACGCCAGACTCCCAACCTCTCATCACCTGGCATTCAGCAGCGCTGAGCCAAGGTCAATGTCTAGTTATCTCATGTCCTGATCTATAGTTCCCCTGCCCCCAGGGCCACAAGAACACAATGCAGGAGGTGGGATGGGAAATGAGAAAGGGAAGTTATGGGCATTCCCACAAAAAATTAAAAGGCAAAGGCACATGGTTATGGGATGTTATTAGAGAAAACATAACTGTGGAAATGGCTAAGTAAGGACGCCCTCCATTTCCCCTCTGGGTCGGGAGGGGATGGCAGGAGTGCATCCCACAGTTCTACGGTGACCCTTGTCCCCTTCTCGGCCCACCAGGCTGCGCTGTGCCACTCTGCACACAGGACTCTGGGAGGGAGCCCAGCCTCCGTGGGCTGCATGGCATTCCCACTGGGACGTGGATGGTGACAGGGGCAGCGGATGGGTGCCGGCTGGCAGAGAAGAAGCAGCAAGTGCAGGAGTATGAGGGCAGCCCGGCCCGCGGCCTCAGAACTCAGGGTACTCAGGGGGTGGTGTGTGGGGGTCACAGCCCAAGAATGACTCCACGGTTAAGAAACACGCGCATGCGCATGCTGCAGGCGGGGCGGGGGTCAATGCGCAGGACGGGCGGGAAGCTTGCTGCTCTGCCTGCTCGTCCTGCGCTCACCTTTTGGTCTTAAAATGTCCCCAGTGTGGTTCAAGGGGTTTTATAGTCACTCCTAAACTGTTTTTCATTCAAGGAGGATTCCTGAGTGACTCCAGGGCAGGGACGTGAGGCTGGACTCCCGCCTTCCTGGGGAAGCGCAGGGCCAGCAGGAGCCTCCTGGGCCAGCCCCCTTGGAATCGAGGGCCACCTTCTTCTGTTGTAGTTAGTTAAGAGGACTACATGGAGATGCTTGGACATCTCCCTGCCTCCTGCCTGTTCCATCTCCCCCAGACTCTTCAGCCACTGGAAGATGAGTGACCAGGACCTCAAGCGAGGGTCTTGTAATGTCTTCAGGGATTTACATGAGGACGAACCCTTTGGGATCTGAACACTGGATCTGGGACTATCCCCTCGTTCTGATGGTGTCACCTAGACAGTGACCCAGCCTGGAAGAATAGGCAGGTAGCCCTCTTCTCCACCACAGTTCTGGCACTTCTCAGCCTGCCCTATGTCTAGAAGCACGTCCACCTGTCCCCTGCCAAACTGCTAGGGGTGGAAGGGGCAGGGGTGCAGACCGACGTTTTGCCAGGTGTTCAGCTACACACAGGAAGAAAAAGGAGTCACAGTTCTAAGAAGCTATCCAGAGGACGCCCACTTTTCTAGTTTGGACGCAGGTGGCAGATCTGCCTAGGAGCAGTTGGGCAATGAGGCTCAGATGCAGCTCCAACTGCCCTAGGGTGAAGCGGACCAGGTTATTTGTATCCCAAAGACTCTCTCTGTAATTAAGCTTCTCCAGAGACTCATCATAATTGTTCTTATTAACAGAATAGCAGCAAAAATTTCTGCAAAGAACTCAGAGTAGTTTGGAGCTTCCTATTTTCTGTAAGGGCCAAGTGCTGTGTCTTGCAAAAGCTAAATTTGCCCGCTAACTTGATGGTGAACCAAGAATTGTTCCTTCTGCTTTCTGTGGTAAAGACTTGTGAAACGTCTGTCTAGTCTAAAAAAAATGGAACAAAAAGCACTTTTCATGTAAACCTTCAAACCTCTCCTCCCACTGGGTATAAAGTTCAAAGAATTTCCCCAGACTCATGGTCCAGAGATTTTTTTTTTTTTTTTTTTTTTTTTAGGCACAAGCCTCCTCTGGACCGCTACAGCCATAAACCTGCTTCCTGATCGTTCCTTAGGTGTCCAGCCTCGCCTGTCCTACATCAAGGGTGGGAGGATGGCCCAGACAAGGTGATGTGCTGCAGAAGGCCAAGAAAACACCCCAGCAAACTTTGCATGCAAGAGGGCAGCATGGCCGGGTACCCCAGCAGAGGCAGGGTGACCCTGGGTGTCTACAGACCCCACAGGAAGTGGGAGCTGGGCGGAAGGAACAGGAGTGTGGGGGCACGCAGGTACAAACCACACACGGAGGGAAGCCCAAATTGGCCATGCGGGCAAGGGAGGGTGGTGCCATACCAATGGGCAGGGGGCATCCAGTCCGTCCAGCCCTGGTAACCCCGGCTCCCCTTTCTCTCCTTTAAAACCTCGGTGTCCCTGTTCATGAAACCAACCACGATGATTATTTAGGTCAAGGCTGGCCAGCTCCAGCTGCAGAGTGGAGAGGCGCAGTCCTACCCTGGCCAGGATGCAGGACCCTTAAGTCACCAACGAATAAAGGCAAGACGCCAGCTGATCCCCCATCTCCCAGGTCGGCCTTGAGCTCTCATTGCACTCGGGAGAGCTCATCGCACACAGCCAGCCCCCTCTGCGGACCCACACCTCCCTCTACAGCCCGTCATAATTTTTAGAACCTTCACATGGATTGAAAGGCACTTGGGAAGCCTGGCGGAGGGGCCACAGATCTTTAGATCCTGGCTCATTGGAGTGCCTTCCTGCTGGGTGTCTGTCTCCCGCGGAGAAGCCCCTGGTCTGGCCTCGTTGTGCCCAGAAGTATCAGTGACCCTCAGGAGATGCTAACTCTGGTGTCCTGCATCCTGACCGAGTGAGCATTGAGACAACCAAACCGCTGGGCCACTGAAGTGGCCCAAAACAAAGAAGGCAAATTCATGGCCCCCAAGGGCTACCCTGGCTCCCAGAGCCATGCTGGAACCCAAGAGCCCAGGCCTCCGCCCCAGTTCCCTCTCCACATGGTTTCTTCACTTCCAAGCATCCATTGTTCTGCATCTTCAAAGGAAGAGCATTCAAAGGAAAAGGATTTAGCCTTAATTATTTGCAGCTGTGGTTTTAAGGCAATACCAACAGCCGGCAGGATTTCAAGGGAACAGATACTCTATTTGCCTTCTTTGTTTCCAGCTTGTAAACCTCAAGGAAAAAACCAGAACAATGCAATTGAGAAATGAAAACATACCAGTGGACAGGGGGCATCTAATCCAGGTGCTCCTTGGTCTCCCTTATCCCCTTTAGGCCCCCTAGAGCCTTTCTTTCCCCTTTCCCCCTGTAAGTGATGGTTTAGTTCAAGGAAAAAAAAAAAAAGAACATCAAAACTTTAGGGTCATTCATATGTTAAGGTTAGAGACAGAAAAAGAAAATGAAAGAAGGAAAAGGAGATTCTCTTCATTAGGATAGTCTCCCCAGTAGGATGTGAGGTCCACACCCACATCCCTGCTTGAAGCACCTGAGAGTTTGGCCCAGGAAGGTGGGTGGGGGACAAGGAGGCAGGGCTACCTCCAAGCCAGAGGTGGTGGGAAATGGGGACTGAAGGTACAAGAGCCCAGAGAGGGTCTGAGATGAAATTGCAGACAACCTCTGGAATCACTTTCCTTAAAAGTGGCCAAGTATGTCCCTTGGATGCTGAAGGGACATCACCTTCCCTCTGCTGGAGGGTCTATTTTTGAGGGGCGTTGGGCTGATTACCTTTTGTCCCAATCCCTGTTCAGCCCTCTGACATTCTCTTAGGAGGCAAAGTGATTTTAGGTGGAGCCCTGGGTGTGCTTCTGCTCGTGCGTGCAAGTGCAGCGTGCAGGCCTGTGTAACAGTGTGGGTATGTGCCCGTGCCTGCAGGTGTGTGTGTGTGTGCACCTGTGTGTGCGTGCTCTCAGCTGGGTCCTCCCACATGGTTCACACTGGCGTGAAGTCAGGTGGTGTTTCTGTGAACTCTGTTTTGCTGTAGACAGCTATTTGTGGATGGACATGATGGTTCAAGGAATTCATGTATTTCTGAGAAGCTTCAGTAAATGTCATCTTTCCAAACCGAGCCTTAATTTTTTTTTAAATGTCAGGGTTCATTTAAAGAAAGGCTGTGGGAAATTCTTAAAAATGAAGTATCAAGCTAGGCTGATTGTACCTGCCTGTAATGCCAGTGACTTAGGGGACTGAGTCAGGAGGATCACAAGTTCAAGACCAGCCTCGGCAACCTAGTGAGACTCTGATTCAAAATACAGTAAAAAAGAGGGGGTACTGGCTGGGGGTGAAGCTCAGGGGTAGAAATCCTTGGATTCAATCCCTGATACCAAAAAAAAAAAAAATCAACCTTGTAATGGACTTAGAGTTGGATTTTTATACGTTGTGTTTCCTTAAAAGTGGCCAAGTATGTCCCTTAAGAGTTTTCCCAGGAACTCTCTTAGGAAGACTAAGGGCCTTGCACAGGGTTTCTCCTGTGTGTTGAGGAGAACAAAGGTTTGGAGTGAGAGCTGATTCTGCCATAGGTCAGTGGTCTGATTTGGGGAAGCTGCATAACCTCTCTTGAGTCTCAGTTTCTTTATCTGTAAAATGGGTACAAACTTTAATGATTTGTTGTGAAGTCTTTGTACATATTAAATGCTTCTTAATAATAACGTATAGTATGTGCTCAGTAAGTCATAATTCCTAATACTAATAACTGACTATTATTTCCTGTTAGTATAGGAACTAAAGCTGCTTCCAGAGGTAAATCTTAGGGTTGGAGCTTCGTGTCTGCCGTGTTCCTGTAGTGGCAAACAGCACAGTCTTCAGTTGTTAGAAAGAGGTAGTCTTTAAAAATACTTCTGATGTTTCCCTGGATTTTTGAAAATTGCCCAATTTCTTGATTCCAGAGGTTGTCTGCAATTGCCAATGCATCATTCTAAATGAATTAGAAAATGACATGTGTTTAAAAAACATTGTATGTGCACACTAGGTACAGTTCCCTTGGCTTGAGGACATGTCCACCGAAAAGAACATCATAACGTAAGCAATTCCCAAATGGTGGATCAGCTCTTTGGGTGGGGAAACTATGGTGCATCTTGGAGTGCAGCCCCTAGTTCTCTTTGGGTCAGGAGATGAGTGGGCAAAGCTGTCTGGAGGTGGGGTAGTCCAGCCCTGGATGTGGCCCGAGGGTCACAGGGTGGAACATGTGCGGGAGCACTGTGTTCCGAGCCTTCACAGGTATTGGGCCAGGAGCTTTCCTCCACCCCCCTGTCCCCACCTGCAGTGGGGCAGAAGAGGCCCAGCAGGGAGGGATTCTAGCTGGTAAAGGGCAAAGTCAAGGCAGAGATTTTTAAAATGATAGATATAAGTGTATGAAATTGATTTCAGAGGAAATAAATTGCAAGGGGAGAAGGGGAAGGGAGAGGATGAGGGTCATGGGGTTCCCAGGGATGAGCATATTGGGGGAGAAAGACCAAAGGAATAAAGGAAGGAAGAGGCAGGCCCAGGCCAGAAGAGTGTGGAGGAGGAGGAGTTGGGACGCAGAGGGCTCAGGAAGGGACACACGTGCACACACACACACACACACACACACGCATACACATGCACACACACACGCATACACATGCACGCACACATGCATGCACACACACATGCATGCACACACATGCGCGCGTGTGCACACACCCCAGGCAGGCATCTGGGAGTGGCAAGGCTCCTCCAGCATCTCAGACCTTTCCAGTTGGCCAGCTCTCAGGCAGCTCCATGGTAACACCCCAACTCTCTGATGACCACATGGCTGGACTCATGCTCCCCTTTGTCCTCTGACTGATTCCTAAACATGGTTCTTGGGTCAATTCACAGAGCTACTTAGAGAGAGAGAGGGTGCCCTTAGTGACAAGGGTATAGTGTTGTTCTTGCTGTCTGGGGCAGCCTTAGGCTCCCTGCTTTGGACCTGGGCCTTGGCCCACCTCTACGAGGACCTTCTTTCTTTCTTCCAACACAGGAAAGAGGTTATAAGGCCACCCGTGGCTGGGACACAGGGCAGCCTCATTTTAAGGTTGTCTTAGCCCACTGAAGGCTAGAACAAATCTCTGCTGGATCCCCCCGGCTTGATGAGGGCAAAGCTTAGGGCTGTCTTACAGGAAGCCTCCTCCCAAACTCAGGTGTGTGGGGGATTTGAGCCTCTCTAGCTTCACCTCCAGGTAACACGGAGGTTTCTAACCAGAATGCTGCCCTCACCCTCTGGCATTTCACCTGGACTGAAACATCAAGATCCTGAGCTTTCAGGAAGAAAAACAAAACCAAACAAAGTCCAAAGCCCTGTGCCAGCCTGCTGGGCCTTTCTTTGTTTAGGAGGCTTCATTACCAAGGCCTCACATCTCAAAGCAGTGCCTAGGGAGGTGGAACCAGGTGTGAGCCAGGAGGCCGGGATTTAGAAGAGACCCTTGGAGCACCTGCAAGTCAGGTCTCTTGGATGAAGGGTGCAGGCTGTGCCTTGGGTTCTAAACGTGCTCTTTGGGATAAGTCACCCGGCTCTTTCTGGTGAACTCCAAGGAAGCATTGAATTACTTTACTGTTTTCTGAACTTGACTTAGCCTAAATGACACATTCCTAATTTAGACATGGGACAGGGGCAGTGTTAAACACCAGGAAGGGGACATGAATATCTTCCCACTGGGGCCTCAGAGGATCATCATAACACCAGTTGCTTTGGCATCCGAGTCTCCAGCCTGGGCTGTCCCCCTCCCTCCACCCGTGACAAGGGCACTTCGCCTCCACCTCTCTTCGCCTCCACCCTTGTCGTCACCTGCAATCTTCACATGGCTCAGTGCCTTCAGCCAACTGAAAAAGTCTTTTAAGAAATCGATTTCACAAGTGGACCAGAACAGAAAACCAGAACAGGTTAGAAATAAGTTAGAAAGGAGGTCAGTAGGCCAAGGAAGGGCTGGAATGATCACAGAGAGGCCCGAAAGACCGGCCATAAGTGGGTCTGCCTGTTCCACAGTGCACTTGGAGGAGGAGAGTTCCTTGGCCCTCCTGCCTGGCCCTTGCTGGCCAATGACTTCTAGACTGAGTCTTGCCATGGACAGTCTGGTAGGGGTAGCTCTGTCTGCTCTCTCTGGTTTATAGAATTTGTGGGGGAAATTGGAGTGGTGTTGACCAACTGCCAGTGAAGAGTGTTTGGGAACAGAGGAGATGCTCCTGGGCCTCTAGGGGGCATGTGCAGCCAAGAGAGAACCCCCTGTGAGGTAGAAACAGAGACCTTCTAGAAAGCACCTACAGGTCCTCTCTGGGTCAGATATAGTTAAGTGATCACAGCTGGACCCAAGTAGCCAAGGCTGTGGCACATGTCGTAAGCCATCAAGAGGCCGAGGGTGCCGTGAACAGTCAGTGTGCCGTGGTAAAGACGGCAGGAGGGAAGGGGGTCTGGAAAGCACAGTTCATTTCAGAGTCCTGTTGACTCCAGGAGAAATCGTGGTATTTTCCTCAGGGCTGGGCTGCTGACTCAGCTGTCTGCTTTCCTCTAGGTTTTTCTTGCTTCCCAGCACTCTGGAATTCCTGGCAGAAGGTGAGGACCAGGTAGGAATGGGTCTGAAAGCATCATTTAGGGGCCGTTATCAGGGCCACGTGGAGAGCGCTGGACACTGGGCTCTGTATGGCCATGCTAAGCTGACAGCCACCGGCATTCAGTGTCCCCGGGGAATGTGGAAACACACACGCTTCAATTTCAAGATTAGGCCCCCGCCTCTCTGTATGCTGTGTGTGGATAAAGGCCTCATTCTTACGTCTTTCGATTTAGAGTGATTTATCAGGAGAAACGGTATTTTCCATGTTGGGCTAAGAATCCCTTGTTGATCATCCCAGCCCTTCAGGAAGACGTTAGTAACCAGCGCTCAAGTGTAGGGCTCAGACTTACCCGGTTCCCTTTGTCCCCGGGTGGTCCATGTAAACCCTGCAATAAATCAGAGACAGAAAGACACGTTAGTGGGAAAGACATAGAACGGTCCGGCAGGCAGTCATTCCCTCCAGGCTCAGAAAGAGCTGTATGGACCCCTAATTCAGCAGGGACAGGCTTGATTGTCCCCATTTTACAGGAGGGGGACTTGACCTAGAGGCAAATGAGTTTTCTTTTCTTTTCTTCTTCTTATTTTATTTTATTTTTTGTACTGGGAATTGAACACGGGGCACCTAGCCACCGAGCCACATCGCCATCCTGCTCTCCAGCCTATATCCTGGCTGATAGTCATGTTCTTCCAAGATGGCGCACACGGAGGAGTGGTGGGTCTGACGCCGAGCAGTCAGGCACGCGGTGCTCTTGGTGGAGGAGAATTCCTTGGCTCTCCTCCAGGCCCTTGTTAGCCAATGACTTTGCAATTTCTCAGACCCTCTTTCAAGGTGCAGTTGCTCCAGGGGAATGAGCGGGAGGGGGACTGGCCCAGACAAGCCCACCCAGGCCACATGTGCTCAGTCTTTAAGTGGATGGGAAAAAGCAGAGGTCCAGGCTCTTTGGGGTAGACGCTGGATCTTTACAACAAGCCAACAGGTGAATGGACTACGGATGGATGCTAGGTCCATTCCCTGAGGTCCAGCTGCCCTGAGAAAGCTCTGTGACTCACAGCACATCTCCTTTCTGTGACCTAGAGATCTGGAGTTGATTTTGCCCCTCCTCGAGGGCAGGAACCATGGCACATTCACTTGGGAGGCCCCTCTGTGTCCATGACAGAGGCTCAAGTAGAAGGGCTTGGGACATGACTGCATCCCTTGAGATGGGCCAAAGGGCTGAGCACCTGGTCCCCTGCCAGGGACCCCAGGAAGTTCTAGCACCTCCTAGTGGCCTCTTGGCAGCTCCCTCTCTCATGGGAACGAGACTTCTCCCTCAGCCCAAGATCTGTGCTTCAGGTTCTGGACACTGTTTTGACCTCGTTGTTGGGTGGCGGGGGACAGGGGTGGGCAGAGAGAAACCTCTGATTCCGCCAGACTCACAGGAAGCCCAGCTGCTCCCGTTGGTCCCGTCATCCCTGGGTCTCCTTTGCTGCCCTGAAACAGAGAAAGAAACCATGAACCCTCCCTGCTCAGGTACCCGTCTTCCATAACCAGCTCCTATTCCGGTACGGAGACTGGGAGCCTCTCCGGCCTCCTCAAAGAACCCTCTGGAAGCAAGGTCTGGGTGAGAGGTGGGTGTCACGGGTGCAGACTCTGCTCTGGAGGGACTTGGAATCCCCTCACTCTCCCTCCAGCAGCGCCTGGCCCCCCAGGCCCTCTGGAAGGACTGAGCAGTGTCCTGAGGGTACTGGTTGGCCCGAGAGAGAAGCAGGGGAGGGGAAAGAGGGGCAGGAAGGTGGCCGAGAGAAGGGGAAGGGCAGGGGGCTGTGGTTTCTTCCCTGAAACCTCCGCGTCATCTCGCTTCCTTGTGTGGCAGTGATCTCAGAGCAGCCCAGGCCCCTCTGCGGGAGATGCCCACCCTCTGTGTCCCGGAGATGGTCAGCCAGGTGGGTGGACGGAGAGAAGGGAGCTGCTGGTTCAGGTGGAGAAGTCTACAGGTGTCCCTGGGGACCAGCCTGCCCTCCAGAGAGCCCCCGTCCCGAGAGTGTGGAAACAGGGGCTTCCCGGTGCAGGAAGACAGGGGGCTGTTCATGTCCTGCACACTGGCCTCCTCTGCCCTCACCTCTCACCCACTTGGCGTGGAATGGGGCTGGATCTCAGGTGTCACCTTACATTGCCAAGGCCACTCATCTCAGTGACTGTGGGGACCATGCCTGACACCCTGGCCTCCTGACTGCTTGATGTCCTCTAAGGGCGCTCTGTCTATGCCGTTTCCCTACCTCATTATGAAATTTAGGCACATGTAGTCATAACACCCCCTGGGGCCTTGTCAGACTGAACCATGACAGGTGACAGGTGACTAGAAACCCCAGTGGAGGACGCGTCCGTCTCATCTCTGTCCACTTGTGGCACTCAAAAGGCTCCCCCTCCCCCAGGCCCGCCTGGCTCCCCCAGGCTGCTGGACAGTGACCAGCAGTGACAGCGGAAGGCAGCCATGAGGGCTGAGCCCCCTGTGGCTGTCGTGGGGACCCCATGGGGTCCTGGGTGCTGAGGCTGAGGAAGGGTGGCCTGCAACACGCCCTCCCGCCCACCGAGCTCTCACCCTCTCGCCCTTTGGTCCAGCTGGGCCTGGAACTCCAATTGGTCCTGGGGTACCCTGAGGGGGTGAAAGAAAGGAGAGTTGAGGGGCTGGCTGCTGGGGAGCCCTGGGAGTCCCGCCCGACCGCTGGAGATGAGCAAGGTCCAGGGCCCAGTTTTCAGGGTTGGCGAGGCCAGGCTTGTTCAGGGTGGCCATTTGATGGGGCCACTTATGATCCTTTTGGAGCTTGGGGGGCCTTGGAGGAAAGAGCGCTGGCCCCTGCCTCAGAGCCAGATTTGGGGGACGAAACCCTTTTATGTCACAGCCAAGCTTGCCAAGGCTGAAAATGGCAGAGTGGTTGCCGAGTTGGCTCCCAGAAGCACTTGGGAGGGAAGTGACCCTGTCCCGGGGCTGGGGCCTAGGGCGGGCACCCCTTTGCTGTCGCAGCTTCACATGCAGCAGGAGGGTCTTCATGCCACAGAGACCAAGGCAGATGCACAGAGAGAGGCAGGCGGGAGAGGGCCATCCAGCAGACCTGTCCCTGGCCCTGGCTTCTGAGCCCACCCCGCGTCCTGGGAACAGACTGGATTGGAGGGGATTGGTTAGTGTGCCTCGGGAGCCTGCACCTCATGGGCCTGCAGAGAGGTGGGCCACGACCTCTCCCAACTCAGGGCGGGGGGGCAGTGGGGACTGGCGTTGCTTGGAGATGGAGCAGGGCTTCCTGTGGCACCATCAAGTACCTTCCCCTGGTCCCCCACCTGCAGCCAGACTGGACCAAGCCTCGATTTCATAGTCTCCTTTCTCTGTCCCACTCAGGCAAGGGCGGGGGGCTTGGTTGGGCCTGGGGGTGATTTCTGGAGCTCTGGGTGTCTCTGGGGAAGGTGGGGCTCAAGCAAGTGGGAAAATGCTGACTTTCTCCACGTGAGAAAAGCCACCAGGTCAGCTCAGTGCAGACTGGCAACTGTGAGGAAGAAGGGAGGCCATGGGCATGTGCCACGGAGGAACAGCCAAGGTGACAGGCCAGATCAGGGTGACAGCCCAGAACAGGGCTCCCCAGGCCTTGGGCCAGGCTCCAGTCCTGCTGCAAAGGCCTACAGACTCCCACGCTGTCTGGAAGCAGCCTGTCTGGGTGGCAGTGTTCCCCTCTGTGCACTGAAGAGGGTGACCCACGTGTCTGCTCCCAGGCCCGTGTGAAAGCCGGGCCTGACCCTGGGCAGCGCCCACGCAGACAGAGCTAGTCGTCTGGGCAGGGCTGGAGTCTCTTCTCCCCCAAACATTCTCCTTTAAAGTCATGAGAAAAAAATAAAGCCGGGGGTCAAAGAGGACAGAGTACATGTGTCTCACTGCGTCCCCTGCCCAAGACAGAAGGATGAGCTGCTGGGGTGGGGGGGGGTCATGGCTTCTCTGCCAACATCAGATCAGCCCCCAGCTCTGACCAGGCACCTAGGACAGGTGTGCTCGGTGAGGACGGTGGGTGGAAGGGGGCTGTGGTGGAGGAGTGAGGCACAAGGATGTCTCGAGAAGAGTCACGGCTCTGTTGGTGAACTGGGGGGCTGCCCGCCAACGCACAGGGGCTCTGAAGATGTGTCATCACGGGCTAGCTGTGTCCATGTCACCTTCTCTCTCTCTCTCTCTCTCTCTCTCTCTCTCTCTCTCTCTCTCTTTAATTTTTTTATTTTTGAGATGGCTGTCGGAATGTGGCCCAGGCTAGTCTTAAACTCATGGGCCTAAGTGGTCCCCTGCCCCCGCCTGGCATGCCCCACCCCCCGGGCTAACCTCCTCCTCTTTAGGAGGGCACAGAGCAGCATTCATGAAGTTGAGGCTCTGATGGGGCCGCCTGTGCCCTCCTCTCTCTAAAGGTCCCCCTGGCACTGCCTGCAAGCCCCCCGGAAGGTCAGCCTCCCTCTGTCTGTCTGCAAGTTCTCCTCTCTCCTAAGTGCCACTCCACCAGCTCACCAGAAGCTCATCTTCCTGGCAGGACATGGCCATGTGGCCTTGAAAGCAGCCCACCCACAAGGCAGACCTGGGCCTCAGCGGCTGGAAGGGGCTGGGCCCATGCTCGGCTCTGGGATGGCTCCTGAGCAGGAAGCCCAGTCTCCCGGCCCTTGACAGTCAGTGACCAACCCCACGAGAGGTACCATGCATCAGCCAGGAGCACCGGAGCTCAGATGACCTCGCAGCATGCTCGGGGAGGGGACCGGAAGGACACTTTGGTTGTTTGGCACAAGCAGAAGTGCTTGTGGTCAGGAGTGAGGCATGCCCAGTTTTGGGAATCTTGAGAAATAGAGAGGGGACCGGAGGGTCCCCTCCCTTGTCCTGCCGAGTGATGGTGTTGTCACTGGCAGAGGTGTGGTTAACGTGTCCTTGGGACACTGAGCTGGGACTGGCCTCTGTGCTCCTCCAGCTCCTCACCCTTCCATGCCACCCTCCTCCCCAGCACCAGCTGGTGGCTGCACAGCACTGGGAAGCCCTCACGGGCAGACAGAAGATGGACAGAGCCACAGCATGAAGATGACACAGAGTGACGGGCACATATAGACACGGTCATGTTTGCTGGGGACGGGTCCAAACCCCCAGGGTGAGCTCAGCATTCCTTCAAGGTCTGGGTGGGTGCTGCAGGAGCAGCCTCCCGTGCCCGACACCTGGCATGTCTGGGGTCCCTGGGTGCAGACTGGGGACAGGGTAGTTCAGACCAAGCCAGCCTCTGTGGTCCAGAGGCCTGGAAAAACGCTTCTGCTAAATGTGGATGGGACCTTCCTACAAGGGACAAGGCACGACTCACAGGGGAAACAAGGCCACAGTGGGACAGACAGAGGGGTCACAGGCTGGGCATGGGGGGGCAGGGTGAGGGGTAACAGAGAAGTGACACTCACCGGTGGCCCAGGCCTGCCGTCCAAACCTGAAGCTCCCTGGACGAAGGGCACAGTTTGACCAAGAGAAGGGGGAGGGCGGAATGGGGGGGGGAGAAAAAGGGGACAACAGGGAGGGAAGAGGTGAGTAGAGCAGTGACTTGGACAGACATAAATGCTGGCACTTCAACACGACGGGGGACAGGGAGCGGCATTTACATGGAAACCAACGAAAGCATGGAGACACCGAGGCTGGGGCCGGCTGTGAGCAGGCTGGAGGGACCAAGGCTGACGGCGGCTCGGGTCCACCCTGCGCCCTCGCTCCTTCCAGCCCCTCTCTCAAGGGCTTTAGTGCTCCGGAGAAGGGGCATCAGAAAGGAAATCCTGGGGAGAATCGGAGCCTCATGTTCTTCCTAGGATGGGCTTCACTGGGGCGGGGCACAGGCTTACGCAGAGGGGGAAAGGGTCTTCCCAGCCTCTTTTTGCAAATCTATTGAGATCAGACCCCCCTCCCCAACCCCAGGGACCCAGCTCTGAGTTCCAGCACTTAACCACAGAGCCACATCCCCAGCACCCCAACTTTAATATTTTATTTAGAGACAGGGTCTTGCTGAGTTGCTTAGGGCCTCATTAAGTTGCTGAGGCTAACACTGAGCTGAGCTTTCGATCCTCCTGCCTCAGTCTCCTGAGCTGCTGGGATTACAGGGGTGTGTGCCACCATACCTGTCTCCAGCACATAAACGTGCCCTGGGGACACAGAGCTGGGACTGGCCTCGGTGCTGAGTTTGGAAAGCCAGTAGAAGCTGGCCTGGTGGGAGGAGTTGGTCCCGTGATGATAACACTAACAATGCCTGACGTTTTTTTTTCTGAGACTTAACAGTTTGCAAAACTTGACCTAAACTCAACCCATCCTTATGCTCCCAGACAAGCACCCTTTTATAGAAAAAGCTGACTGGATGATGGGCCTAAGTCACACGTCCCTCGTGGCAAAGGGGTGGGCAGATGGGTGCTGCTCAGAGTCATCTGCTGGGCAGCTGCCTCACTCCTTGCTGACCACAGATCCGTGGTAGGAAGGAGCTCTTGCTCCACCGCTAGGCTCTGAAGCTGTCCTGTGATCCATCTAGGAAAACCAGGGCCATTCTCTCAAGATTCCAAAGTTACAAGCCAGAAAGGAAGGAGGCCACAGTGGGGTAGTTGTTGCTGTACTCTAACTATTAAGGGCTGAGTTCTTGGAGATTGCTTCCAGAGGGCCTCAACCTCGGGATTTTTTTTTTTTTTTTTTTTTTTGGTGTCGGGACTGAACTCAATTAACCATTGAGCCACACACTCAGTCTTTTTTACTGTTTTTAAATTTTGAGACAGGGACTTGCTAAGTTGCTTAAGGCCTCTCTAATTTGCTGAGGCTGACCTTGAACTTGCAATCCTCCTGCCTCAGCCTCCCAAGATGCTCCCTCCCAAGGTGTGTGCTACCATGCCTGGTTTCAACCTCAGGATTTTAAAGGTGGAGGGAAAGCTGCAGAGAAGGGTGGGCAGCAGCCTGCTTCCTCCCCAGGAAAGGATTCTCCCGGTTGGATAGAACCCCACAAGGACTTGGTTCTCAGAGTTAGGATCACATCATTATGGGACTGATCTTGACTCACAGGCCAGAGCCAGGGTCCTCAACTCCCGCTGCACACAGCATCCTCTGGGGTGAAGTTGCATAATACAGAGGCCCAGGCTCCAGCGTGGCCCAATGTAACCAGGCTCTACGACTGGGCCTGGGTGATGGTATGGTGACTCCAGTGCACTGCTAGCATCGAGAACCACTTATGGAGTGCAACAGAGGGGGGCTCAACAGGACACGGTGGAGGGGGGAGAAACAGTCTATACTATGGCTCCAGCCAGGAAACAACTAGAGCTAATAGCCATTTACTGTGTCTATGCAGCATTAACACCGTTGTCTTATGAGGCCTGGAGCAGAGGACACACACACTCAGAACCTCAGGACTTATGTGGGCCACGGAATACACTGTCTGGGCTGCAGGGTTGCAAATAAATTTGATCTAAAATTAGAAAATAGGGAGATTTCATACAAAATCCTGGATGTCCAGCTTCCTTTGAAAAATTGAAAGATGGTGAAATGCTCCTTCCTCCAAGGCAATCGTCCGCTGAGCTGAGAAGAGGCTGCTTCCCAGGGGAAAGGCATTTGGGCATCTGGGGTACCACAGGTGCCATCACTCCCTACTGACCCCCGGAGCCCATGTGACCTGCCGTCTAGGACTAGACTCGTTCTACAGTTTTCTTAAGCTGGGCAAGGTATTTCTCTGATCCATGGCTGTACTGAAAGTTGAAGAATTAAACAGGGACTGGGGACTTGTCCTTCACCTGGCACTTTCTTTGTTTCTGTTACCCGAGCACTCACGGTGCCATTGGCATGCCAAACTCTGACTAAGTTCTCCAACATTCTCTGGGGAGGTCAGGGCCATGAGGATGCATGAGGAGAGGCCTGTGGTTGGGGGGAAGGAAGGTGCTTCCATGGAAATGTGTACTTGATCATTCTGGATGCAGTTTGCGACATGGGGAAATGTCTGCTAAAGTCATTAGTTTTCTGTAGCACATCAAGCAAATCAGCTGCTTCAGTAACCTTACGTTCGTTGCATTTATGAGAGTGTCATTACACAAAGTGTCACTTTGCTGTTGGGAGGCTGAGATTACAGGACCAGAGCTTCAGGCTCTGCTGAGCCAGGGGAAAGGACTGCCCCGTGCTGTTTTGCTCTCTGTGGTTCCCTGGGGTGGGGCCGGAGGAGTCTGAGTAGCTGAAAGGAGTCCCTTTATAGGCTGTGGCCTCAGTGGAGAAGCAGCCTCTGACCCCGCCTGGTGACCAACCTCATATGTGATCTCAAGTGACCATAAGGGAGATGGAGCACTAAAGCTCCTTCCAGAGTGCCAATTTCAGTGGGCTGTGGCATGATCACCAGGACACACTGAAGGGTAAAAGGCCATCAGGCCACTGGAGTTGGGAGCAAAGGGACTCATCTGGCCCAGCCCCTACTTCTAGACAAGAAGGTACCTGCTGAGAAGCCCTCACCAGGAACGGGGCCGTGAGCCCTGGGCAGGCTGAGATCAGAGCTCTCTGGAGCCTGGGGTACAAGTGGCCTCACCCTGCTGGGACCAGGACTTTTTACATGCTTTGCTGCTGTGGCTAGTGCTTAAGAGGGGAAAGCAGGGGTTCTTTGGGGTCCTTCTGGGAAAACGGGTGAGATGGAGAATATCCTCATGGTCTCACTCTTCCCAAACTCTCCAAGCTCGGCTCCCAAGGGAGACTATGATGGCCCTGCCTTGGGCACAAGCAGGTCCTGGGGCTGTCCTCAGGCTAGTCTGCCTCTCCCCTGGACTTGCCTTGGGTGGGGTCCTGTCTTGTTTAGCTTTTATTTTCCCAGAACACCTGGAGGAGACCCTAGGAAAGGGAATCAGAGCCCAAGGTTTTTCCCTGGTGGGAAAAGAAGGCCTTCGAGCTCTGGAACAGACGCTCAGAACTTGAGACCCTGGAGTTTTTGAGTGGCTACTCCCAGCACCCTGCCACCTGCTCCCGGCCCCACAGGGCCACCCGCCTGGGCTCCTCACTGCGGTCTTGCTGGCTGAGATACTTACGGGTAGGCCCAGAGGCCCTCGGTCTCCTTTTTCTCCCTGGGCCCCCTTCTCTCCTTTGGCTCCATCTAGTCCTGCCTCTCCCTGGAGGAAGGAGAAAGAGGAGGTCACAGAGGGCACGTCCTGGACAACCCATGCTTGTCTCTTGGGGTCTGGAGACAGGGGTGGGGTTTGTAGAGGAGGGCGGAGGCAGGGGTGGCTGGGCCACAGGTGGCAGGCCGGAGACTCCAAGGATCCCTGATCTACCACCCTGTCTTGCCTCAGCATCCTCTGGTGACACTGAGTTCCCCAAAGGGACAAGGGATGTGTGGAGTGGAGGCAACACACAGGGCAGTTCCAGGTCAGGTGTTGACATAGCTGACCGTTTACAGGGCAGGAACACTGGGATCCTGCAGGATCTGCTGGCAGATGCCTGGAATATTCTACCACCAGAGCACCAAGGCTCATAAACTAGCTGGGAGAAGAAACGTCCCCAAACTCCCCTGAAGGATGTTTTGTAGGGAGTAAGGGGCCTTGTCATGCCAACAGCCTGTGGCCCCCCTTATCATTTGAAATGCTCTGGAGGAGACTGGGAGAGACTCACTAAACTGAGCCCGGGGGCTTGGCCCTGGGGAGGGGCCCACACTCGGCTGCCACCTGTCTTCCTCCCGAGCTTGAGTGGATGGTGTGGGGCAGGTGACACGGGAAAAGGATCTCACCATTGGCTAAGGATCTAGCCTGTCACTTTGTATGCATGAATGGGAAAATCCTGCCTCCACAGCATGCCAGGCGTCAGTGCTGAATGTTGATGGCACCCCGCTGGATGGAGTGTCACCTGAGGCCATTTAGGGAGAAGGTGGGGTTCCTGAAGCACTTTCCCTCTTTTCTGCTCTAACGGATGCACCCCCCCCCGGCCCCCCCACCCCAGGCTCCGCCCCTGTCATAGAACCTCTTCTCACCTTTGGTCCAGGAACACCTTGGAGTCCCTGCATTTGGAATCAAAACAAGGTGCATTAGAACTGCAACTCAGTTAACTTCTTGTCCGCGGGTTGGACCCCAGAAGAGCAGGGGTTTCGTGTGCAGTGTGGTCTGGAGGCCCTGTCCATGACAGGTGGAAGGGAATGCCGGGAGGCCATGCTTGGGGCTTCCTGGGTGGGGTCTGAGCCAGCCTTTCCCAGCCAGGAGCCAACAGAAAAACCGTGGCCCCCATGGGAATATTGAGGAAATCGAACAAAAACTGAATAAATTAAATGTATGAAAAGTACTTAGAATAGTATCCGGCACATGGTAAGTTTCAGTAAATGTTGACTAGTGTCGTTATTGCTACCACTACTTTACAATGACAACAGGTGACACTGTGAACCATGCAGAGGTACAGACTGGGATCTGTTGGCTTGGGTGCTTGGGGGGGCCTCTAGGTACAAAATAAAGGGGCCCCACAGGTGCATTTCTGCAACTACAGGAAGGCCAATCCAGTGGGGCTGGTTTTAATGGGTCACTTTTCATTTTAATCCGGTTTTCTTGCCAGTTGGGTACCAGGAAGGAGGGAGAAGAAGAACAGAGGATGGATGACAAAGGATTATGTAAATGTCAGGCACAGCTTAGTGACAAAGTAAGCCCAGGGCTGCCATGCTGGCCAACAGTTTGCAGGGGGGCCACACCCAGGCTCCTCGGTGTCATTGGGACGGCTGTCTAACATGGGAGGGAAGAAGAGTAGTGACAACCTTGGGTGCTGGTGGTTAGGAGTTGGGGACCTGAGCACAGGGGACTGAAATTTTGCCAACAAGCTGTCCATACTTACCGGAGGCCCAGGAGGTCCCTCTGGCCCTGGTGGCCCAGGAACCTGGAAGAAAAAGGGGAGCCCAGTTACATACCAGGTGGTCCTCCCTCCTGACACAGCCCGGGGTCTGCTGAGGACTAAGGCCATAGGAGGACAGGGCTGCTCACTGGAGGTCAGCTCAGCCCACAGTCTCCCAAAAGAAGGCCCAGGACAGGTCAGAAACCCATCGCAACCCACCGGCCTACATGATGCTGCCAAGATTTGCCAGGAAATGGCCCTGAAATATCCATTCTCCCACATTTTCTTGAAACTCTAGAAAATCTAGTAGAATTATTTTCACACCCTGTTCATCAGGACTTCAAAAGCTCTCCTGAAGGGGGCAAGATGCAGGCCCCCCCGCCCCTCCCCCCTTCCCCTACCCCCTTCCCCTACCCCAGGCCCAGCCCCTCTGGGGCGGGGCATGAGATCCTTGGCTCACCCCAGTCTCCACCACCCCCTATTGTCTTTAACTCAGACATCTTGCATTCATTTGTGGGGGGTCTGATCCCCGCAGGCATTTGAGTTTGAGGTCCTTTGCTTAGAGGAGCAGAGACTGCTTATCAGGCATGGGGGAAGGCTGGGATGTTTCTGAAGGATAACCCAGGGCTGTGGATCCCGTTTCCCTCAAGGGCAGGTTTCAGCGGAAGCGGTCTCGGCTGCGTGGTGAAGATGGAGGAGCCCAGGCTACCTCCTTCTCTACAGAGAGGGTGCCCACTGCGGAGTCTGTCTCTGATGAAACTCGACACCCACTGTCTAGGGTCAGCCACTGCCTGTCTCTTACTGAGCTGGGCACCCCACCCCTGAGCTTGAAGGTTCTCCTCAGGTGCCTCATCTCTGCCAGGGATAGAATCACTAGACTCTGGCCAGGTTGAAGACCTCTCTGCCAGGCCACGATGCACTGGGTGCACAGGAAGACCCCTCATGTCCCTTGGACCTGGGGGCTTTTCATTCAGCTTCCTCCCAGTCTCCTTGTCGGGAATACAATCTTTGGAAATTACTTTTAAAAAGTTTACTTTGTTTTCTTATTATAAATAATACGTACACAGATCTGATTACGGTAGTGTTACACAATCTGCAATGAATTAAACTTCAAAGAATTTTACCTGTACAATTATTTTAAAAATGAAACTTTAAAAGTAGCACCAACTCATTAAAATATATTATGAATTTAAGAGAATTGAAAGAAAGAAAACAAAAAAAAATCATTGGTTTACCTAGCTGAGAAGCACTGCTAATATTTTAAAAATTTCCTTACACGTTTTTGTTGAATAATATGTAGTTGAATGTATGAATGTACTTGTGATGACATATAAATAGATAAATATAATTGGGTTTTCTGCTTCTTTCTACTTAACATGGAATCCATTTCTTCTGAGTGGAATGGAAACGAATATCATAGCCAGGGCTGGCAGCAGCACTGTCACCAGGAAAGCTCTCAAACATGGGCCATTATTACTATTCGTATTGTTAGCTTAAGTCATTCAATCCTTTTCTTCTTGTTAGAAACATGGGCTGTTTTTAATTTTTACTTTAAGTTCTTCTGGGAAGGATGTCTTTGTGTATCAGGCCCTTTCTGGATTTAGGATTGTTTCTTTAGGAGGTTATCCATTTCTAAGTAAGTAACATACATGGGATTACACAGTCAGGTCTGTTTCACTAAATCCAGGTGGGGCTGTGATACTAAAGGTGATGGGAGCTGGGTGTGGTGGCACAAGCCTGTAATCCCAGCAGCTCGGGAGGCTGAGGCAGGAGGATCATGAGTTCAAAGCCAGCCTCAGCAATTTAGCAAGGCACTAAGCAACTCAGTGAGACCCTGTGTCTAAATAAAATACAAAATAGGGCTGGGGATGGGGCTCAGTGGTTAAGGGCCCTTGGGTTCAATCCCTGGTACCAAAAGAAAAAAAAAAAAGAAAAAGTGACAGGGCGAGGGAACCTCACAGGGGAGCGGGGAAGAGGCTTGGTGGCCTGTCCCTTTGTTCTGAGGGGGTTTCTGGATTGTCCAGGTCTACCCACCTCCTGTGGACTCTCCCTCGCAAACCTAGACCCCGTGGCTTTCCCTTGCGCCTACACAGGAGCCCACTTTTCTCCCATCTCCTGACACCTGGCCTCCGCCCTGACTCCCCCTCCCTTGGGGTTCTTCCCTTCACTATCTCACAGAACCTTGCCTCTCTCTGGAAAGTCTTCCTCTAAAGCTTCGAGGTGAACTCCTACAAAGTCGTCAAGACCCAACCTGAGATGCTCGCCCGGTGATGAGTGTCCGTCACTCGTGCCCAGGACTGGGGCCTGTGGGCTGCCTGAGGAGCAGGTCTGTTTGTTTTTCTGTCTGTAGATTCTATGGCAGGACAGAAACCCGGCAGGTGCTCTGGGAACCCTGGAGAGATGCTCCTGGAGGAGAGCCAAGCTCAGAGGCTCAGCGCCCAGCAGGGTGCTGCTCAGGATGCCCAGGCTGTGCTTTGCTTTCGCCCTTCTCCTGTCAATCAGCTGCAGGTTTCACCCTGGAGCACAGAGATGCTGGGCACCCCGGAGAGTCTGTCCTTTCTGATGAGACCTCCATCAAATCATTGCCCAAGTCACTAAAGGAAGAGCAGGTGTGACCTACCTCTGCTCCTGGGTCACCCTTCTCTCCAGCTTCTCCTTTCTCTCCCTGTGGGCACAAGACACCAGGACGTGAGTGCCAGCACCAGTGTGAGTGCACAGGCATGACCCCGCATCTGTGACCAACTCGACCCGGACTAGGCTGGTCCAGGTGTCAGCACAGAATACCCTGGAGGCTGTGGGAGGGAGACTGCTGGCGGGTGGGTGCTGTGACCAGTGTCTGCAAGGCCCTGAGCTCTAGAGTGGGGAAGGGACTGCTGTTCTGTGTGGTCCTGCAGTGGACAGACCCTGGGGTGGACCTGTGACTCATTTGTCAGCCATGGAATTGGGCACATGTCAAGGTGGTGGCTGTCACTCCTGAGAGCATGTTACAATCACCACGTACCTGTGATACACAAAAACGTATGACATCTTGAGCTTGTGTTGCAAACACGTCACACACACACACACACACACACACACACACACACACACACACACACACACACGCGGCTCTGCCCTGCTGTACTAGGGACCCTCATGTTGATCTTGACCTTGAAGAAGTAAGCTGCTGTACTGTGAACTGCCTACCGCGGGGAGGGCCAGGTGGCAGGGGACTGTCCTATGAGGGATTTGGTCCTATGATGAGGGATTTGGTCCTATGATGACAAGGAACTGGATTCTGCCAACAGCCAGTGAGCTGGGGAGAGGGCCCCTGGCTCCAGCTGAGACCGCAGCGGGCTGACACCTTGATCGCAGCCTTGTGAGATCCAGGAGAGACCCACAGAAGCTGTGACAGTGAATGTGCGTAGTTTTAAGTTGCTGAACTTGTGGTGATTTGTTTTGCAGCCATAGGAAATGAACAGCACCCCACCCCAGAGAGGATGTGTTGGGGGACATCAGCCCCTAAGGCTCTTTCCACCCCAAGAAGGAAAGTCCAGGTCCAAGGTGCTATACCTTAGGACTAGGTCGGCCCTAAAGACAGAGGTCACCGTGCTGTGTGCTGAGGAGACTAGAACCCTGTGTGCACTCAAATCCAGTAGCTGCTCGTCAAGAGGACCCCCTAGGCTGGGTGGGCGGGCTCGGGGCTAATGTGGCTTTGTCACGGTGCCAGGCACCCTAGGCTGGCGGCTCACGTGGCTTCAACTGCAGCAGTCTGCCAACACCCCAGGACCCCGCCCTCTGGCCTTACTGTAAATCCCGGGAGCCCGATGGGGCCAGGCAATCCTGTCGCTCCGGGCCTCCCTTGGCCACCGGGTTCTCCTTTCTCCCCAGTTGGGCCGTCTAGACCCTACAGATTGACAAAGGTCTCTGTTAGTGAAGCTCAGGGTGGTGATGCCGAGCACCTGTGGCCATCTAGGGCACACATTATGGCTCCATTCCTCCAAGGCGAGTGCCTAGGAGGGCACCCACTTCACAGGTGGAAATCCTGTGGCCCTATCAAGGCCCCCAAATCAAGTCAGCAGCCTTGCTGGAGGGGACAAGGACTCCCGCATGCAACCTCTCGTGGGAATGGGGCTCTCTCTGCCTGCCTTCCAAAGAGGCAGTTTAGTGCCCAGGACTCTCTTTTTTCCAGAGACCCACGAGGTGTCCAGGGAAGGAAACTGAGGCTCTGTGAGGCTCAGGGAATTTCCCAAGGACACGGACAATGACAGAACAGGAGTTAGATTGGCCTGAGTCAGGAAGCTGGTCTTCATAAAGTGAGTGGCACAAAGGCGTCTCAGAGGATCCCCTGCCCCTGATTCCTGCCTCCAGGTTTCCAGCTCAGCCAGCGGCTGGCATTGGGCAGAGCCAAGGGCGGGCATGCAGGGGTCACGCACAGGGAGGGCCAGCCGGCCTGCCACTCACCGGAGAGCCTGCCGGGCCCGTCTCCCCTTTCTCCCCCTTCTCTCCTGGGCTCCCTGGGGATCCGATTTCTCCCTTCATTCCTGGAGACCCATCCTTTCCTGGGGGTCCTTGGGGGCCAGGGGGGCCCATGTCTCCTGGTTTGCCTCGAGGTCCCTTTAGAAGACATCAGTAGTGCTTCTTAGGCATGTGAGTGGAGAAAAGCGGGGGGGATGGAGCAGAACGGGGGTCCAAGGACTGGAGTTTTGCTCTTGCTTGGAGCTGGCAAAGGGAGCCCCCTAGACTGGCTCTTAGTGCTCCCTCTGGGGCTGCAGCCCAAGCCCTCCTGCCCCCTCTGCCCCTCCTGCATGCCCTGAGGGCGCGCAGCCGGGCCTGTTCCAGAGCCTCGTTTTGCCCTCACCCTGGAAAAGGCCGTTTCAGAGGCTTGTCTGGCTCTGGCTCTTCTTACCTTTTCTCCATCGTGTCCTGGAGGGCCTGGCAGTCCGATCTCCCCCTGTGGCCAGAACAACTGAAGGTGACTCTCAGAGCAGAGGCCATAACAACGTCACTTAGGCACCATTTCCTGGGTACAGGCATCTTTCTCTGCACTTTCCCCCAGAGTGCAAGCCTTTTGATTCTCACTGCAGTCTTGGGAGATATGTGCTTTCGTGGTGTCTTTTACAGATCAGGACCCCAAAGCACACAGTATGCGCCCAAGGCTCACAGTCAGTGGGGAAGGGAACCAGGATCCGGGTCAGGGCATCCTGGCTCCATGGTCCGGGTTTTAGCTGCAACCTTGCACTGCTGTCTTTGAGAACCCTGGGCATCCCTGCCCCTCTGAACCAGCCCTCCTGGCCCGGCTGCCCATGGCTCCCTGCATCTTCACCCACCCACTTCTTTAGGTCAGGGAGGAGGAGGAGGTGAGGAAAGTGTGATAAGGGGATGCAGATGTCTCAGAGAGGGAGGGTGTGAATTCTGCCTGATGGGCCAGGCCGGGGAGGCTTCGAGGAGGAGGTGGCTTTTGAGTTGGTCTGGAAAGATGAGACGCCTTTGAAAGTTAGGGAAGAGGGGAAGGGATCGCTGGGCAGAGGACAGAGGGACAGTCCTTCTAAGACAAAGCATGGGGTGGGTGGGCGAAGGATGGGGGATAAAGGAAAGCAAAGGCAGTGAGGGGTGGAGGGGTGAGTGGGGAGGGGCTCAAATGCCACCTTCCCTGAGGGGTGGCTCGGGTTCCAGCTGTGGGTCTGCTGGAGCAGGGTGTCTGCCTGCGAGGACCCCCACGACAGACAGCCAGGGAGGAATGACGGAGCCCAGGGCTGAGAGGAGCCACACGGTCGTGAGTACACTGGGAAGGTGGGGGCCACAGGACGAGGGGTGGCCCTGAGGTCCCTTTATCAGGGAGGCAGTATCCTTACAGGGTCTTTGTCCCCTTGTCAAGGTAGTTTTACCTTCTGGCCTGGGGTCCCTGGAGCTCCGGGGGGGCCTATTTGCCCAGGTAGACCAGGAGGCCCCTAGGAGAGAAAGGAAAGGTGTGTGGAAGAGGTTTCCAACCAGGAGGGTGGCCCACCACCAGAGGGCTGAGGTAGAGGCTGGCCTTCAGGGATCAGTCATTTTCAAACGTCTTTGTTAGTAGAAACGACTTTTTTTGGGGGTGGGGGGAACATAGGGAGTCCCCAGTGCAAACCGATAAGCACAGGTGATTCTGGATTGAAGTTGGGGCAGGGCACACAGCCAAGGCCAACAGCTTTTCCCTTGAGGCCCTTCCCACTGGGGCTCCAAAAAGATAAATTTGACTTTCCCAACCATGACTTAGGTCATCAAGAAACAGCCCAAACACCTGTCCATGAACAGGCGGTGCATGGTTTACCATACAGCACACTGCCCAGCTCGGGCTTCCTATAGTGACTGGGGTCATGCATACAAATATCTACATTTGTGAAAGCTCATCAAACTCTATACTTAAAATGGATCTATTTTATTGGAGGCTATACCTAAGATTGACTTAAAAAAAAATAGTTTGCAGGAAAGTTTTATTTCTATATTATTTCACATAATATATTTTAAGGTCTCCAAATGAAGTTCCTTGACTCCAGAATCGCATAGTTTATACCGATGTCTGACCCTGGATCGTCATAGAGGTGGTGTTTGGTTCTGAGTTTGTGTCCTCTCTAAGTGAATGGGAAATATGAGGTGAACTGAAATTCCCCTAGTCTGAGGACTTTAGGGTCCTGCCTTCCCTCTCTGCCTGGGGAGTTAAACTTAGTGGTGTCTGTTTTAACTGCAAATATTTACCAAGTAGACACATGTGCAAAACCCAGTGTGGAATTCACTGGTTTCCTGAGAGCAGATAATGAGCTCGATTTCTAGAAAATAGGGACAAGTGGAGACTTGCTACGGGTTTTTCAGAAAAAAGGAGAAAAAGAAAAGCATCCTCCTGGATCCTGCTCTTTCCACCACACAGCAGTAAGCAGCCCAGTTACACCCGAGCGCACAGCTGCACTGGTGAAGAGCCATCACCGAGGGCAGCCCTGACCCAGGGCTGGGCAGCTCCAGGGGCCCACCTCCAGTCCTGCCCCTGCCCCAGGCTCATCACACTCTCTGACCAGTGGCACCCAGGGACCAAGTGTGCACTTTCTGGAGGCAAGAATTCAAGTTTCTTGCTTCTAGACTCTACTTCCATCCCCACCCTGTGTCAGGAAAGCGAGCGAGCGGAGACTCACCATCAGGGCCAGTGTTCGGATCTCCTAAGAAAAACAACAGGCAGTTAGTTGAAGAGCAAGTCCAGGGCCATCTGCAAGATCCCTTCTGCCCAATCATGGCCCCTGGAGGGCAGGGTGGAGGCAGACCCTCACAGGGGCCTCCCCACCTCTCCTCGAGGTCTGTAATCTGGACAGAGCGCAGCAGGCATTATACAGGCCCGGGCAGTCTCTCCCCCCTCCACCCTCTCACCCTGATTCTGCAACCACCTGCTGGGGCCCTCCCTTGCTCTTTCCTCCTCTCCCAGAGCCTCAGGCTTACACCATCTCTCCCTTAAATAGACGCAGCACAGCAGAGCCTAGAACTACTCCAGAGAGAGACGGGTGGGATGATCCTTGGTTTAAAATCCTTTACAACTTAGGACTGGATTCACGCACACACACACATTCCTTTGAAGGAGCGGTTCTCAACCTGGGGTGGGTTATGTCCCCCAGGGGACCTTTGGTCACATCTGGAGACATATTTTGGGGTGACAACTGAGGGTGGGGTGCTCACAGCAGTGAGTGGGTAGAGATGCTGCTCAACATCCCACAATGCACCGGGCAGCCTCCCCACCCCACCACAATGATGGTCCAGCCCCAGTGTCCACAGCGCCAAGGCGGAGGCACCTGCTTTAAAAGGTGGGGAGCGTATGAACTTGAAATAGGGTAAAATTGACACACAAAGGAGACATGCTCCAGGAAGACAGAATGTACCCCGTGAAAGGGGAGTTAGGTGCCAGAGTTAGGTGGAGGGGCAGCACCCTGTGGGTGCTGGGATGTTTCCAATGAGTTCTCAGCTGCCCAGAGCCAGGTAACTGGCCAGTAGGGCTCAGACAGAGAGCCAGGCCACCTGATGCCACAAACAATGGGGCCATGTGCTTGGAGGCTGCACAGCGGGAGGCCAGGGGAGAGGCCGCAGGAGTGACTCTGTCCTGGAAGCCCTGTCCATGGCCTGGCTGCAGGGCCTCAAGGCAGCTGTGTGAGGGTCAGGGCCGAGGTCCACGGGGACTTCCAGGGCTCGGCTCTGGGCTGTGGTCCACCCACCTGGAGAGCCTCGTTGAGGTTTCCGTTGTAGTCCACCATCTCTCCCTTCCCTGGTTCGCCCTTGGAGCCCTGAAAGGCAGATGAGATCTCAACTAGGGCCTGGACCGGGAGGGCCTGAGGGCCCACTGTCCACACTGGCCACATCTTCTGGGGTGGACTGTCAGGGTTGCAGAGGAGGCTCGGTACTATGGCAAAGGAAGCAGCCTCCGTTTGAGTACTGGGGACTAGAGGTCTGGAGGAGGGTGAGCCCAATCACAGTGGCCATCTGACCTCCCACCCGGGGCTGCACCCTCTTCCCTTCCTCCCCTTCAAGAGCTCAGGTAAGTGGCTCCTGCTGACTCCAGGTGAGAGGCGATGTACCTTGGGGCCAGCTGGTCCCTGTTCTCCAGCGGCTCCGGGCTGCCCCTGTTGTATGACAAAATGAGTGAAATGGGCTGAGAAAGTTGGGTGCGGGAGAAACCGGGTCCCCACTTAGGCCCTGTGTTAGGGGCCGCAGAGGGGCTCAGAGGCCAACAAGACTCAGACCTCCCGCCCATCAAAATGCAGGCTCCGCCCCTTCAGGGAACATCCCCTGGACACTGTCCTCTCTTCCTCCCCGTTCCTCTGGGCTCCTGCTTCTTTCTGTCCTATGTTAGTCGTTAGTGACTCCCCTTTGTTCTTCTGGCCACCTCTCTCTCTCTCCTGTCTCCTTGTCCTTGGGAGCTACCTCCTTGGGAGCAGGGACCTGGCTCTTCTTTTCTCCCATTTCCGTTCTGTACAGGTAGCAAGGGCTCTGTCACTTGTGGCCCGTGGCCTGGTTCTTTGAGGGCCCCTGTGGTTCTTTGCCCACTCCCCTTGTGAAGGACCCTGCCTACAGGATGACACCTGGGGGCCGGAGAAGGTGTGAGGAGGACACAGGTGCAGGTGCAGGGACACCCGCCTTCCAGAGTGAGGGGTGGACATGGAATGGGTGAAACATGGTGCTAACTGTGAAAAACAAACCACGGCTCTAGCTTCTCTGGGAGAAAGCTAACATCAAAAAAGGAAAAAAAAAATCAAGATAGAGTGTCGAGAAGGCAGGAAGGAACCTTGGCTGGTGGAGCTGGAGCCGCTGTCACCCTAGGGGAGCTGCCCTCTATCCCCCTCCCTCCAGCCCCCGTGGCATTTGAGTCATTGTGCACCTGTGAGGGACACACAGCCCTGGAGTAGCTCTAAAAGTACCACGAGATTGCCCTGCTGGGCCTGAGGCTTGGAAGCTACCAGTCACTGGGCTCAGTGTCACTCCCCAGACCAGGTGGGCCCTCCAGGGGCCAGCCTTGGCATGAGTGCTGTCTCAGTGGTGGTCCTCTGAGGCCCAAGATGACCAGAAAGATGGAGGTGGGAGGTCACGGCCAGTCAACCTTGTACCCAGGCTCCACGTCAGGGACAACAGGGCTGCTCCCTAAGTGGGGGCTGGCACCCCCAAGCTGTCAGAGGTGGAGCCTCTGTACCTTGTCTCCTTGTCGTCCAGGGGGGCCGGCCTGGCCATCCATACCCACTTCTCCCTGGGGAGGAAGAGAGACACGGTGTGAGGACAAGAAGAGGGGCTGGGACAGCTGCTCGAGGGGACAAAAGCAGACCTTGCTGCTCCTGTTTGGGCTTCACTAACTGACACCATCCCGAGCCCCCTCCTGGGCCCAGCCTGGCCTCACCTCCCTCTGGAAGCCCTCTGTTCCCTCCCCTCCTCCTCTGAGCTCTGTGCTATTCACCGTGTCCACCTGCCGTCCAGGCCCTCCTCAGCCCTTGGTTGATACACACAGGCCCAGAAGGGTCACAGCCCCCAACTGGACTGAGGGTCACCATCAGCCCACCTGCAGGGAGTCTGGAGCACTTGGGATGTCACATCTTGGGGAGTCCTGCCTGGGTGACAGAGGGGTGCATGGGACCCCTGGGCATGTGGGGAAGGGGCTGCAGGATCCCAGGACAGGGGGTGCAGGGTGGGATGGGAGGAGGCCCGCTCCAAGTGCTTCACTTATTGGACAATTCTCCTGGACCTGGAAAGCAGGCCCGAGTTTGGGGACCCAGCCTTGTGGCTCTCCCTCCCTCTTGCTTCAAGATGCAGACAGTGTTGGCCAAGTTTGCCCAAGCTCCAGAGGAGATCCAATCTGTGGCAGCCCCTTGCCTGTGACTCATGGGACAGCCCTGGGGACAGTGGGTGAGTAGGGGGCGGGCAGGGCTGCCTTCGGCAAAGCTGCTGCTCCAGCCAGTCAGGGCATATGTGGGGTTTGGCGGGAGACCCTGCCCACCATTCATCTTGCCTGCCTTTGGGGACACTGGGGTCCCCTACATTCTACCTTTGAATCACAGGTTTGCTTCTCCTGCTAGATTGAGAGTGAACCAAGGGCAGGTTCCCTGCAGCCCCCCTGCTGTGCAGGGCCAGCTGTGGCAGGCCTGTGGGGGATGTCGATGTACTGAACGAGCACATTGCGTCAGATCATTAGAGATACTGAAGTGGCACCCCCTTTCTCCACAGAAAAGTCTTAACTGGGCTTCTCCAAAAATCTTCACCATGGCTGATTTTAGGACTGTCAGCAAAAGAGTCTCTACAAAAGAGTTCAATGTAGACAAACTTCCTATTTTCCTGTCGCCCTGTTTTACTTGGCCACTGGCTGCGAAGATGACAGCACTCCAGGTGCTGGAGACCCCCTTACTAGATTTTCACAAACATGTATCCAGTATAGTAGTTTCTAGAAATGTGCACACAAGGCCTCTGGCCTTGGGCTTCACAGAGATGTCTACATTTTTAAGATAAGTTACAATGGGGCTCCATGGTAACAACTGGAGGGGGGTGGGGGAAAGAAAGGGGAGAAGAAGCTCTCCCCTTCTCAGGTGTTGTCCTTGAAGGGTTAACTTGCCCAGAACAATGACAGAAAAAGCTGCTTTTGTGTGAACTTCTGCAGACTGTGAACTTCTGAGCCCCTCCCTTCCATGCTGGGTATAAAACTCTGAAACTACCTAAACTTGGGGCTCAGGGGATTGATTGATTGATTAGAGCAAAAGCTGTGCCCTCTGAACCTGGCTGCAGCCAGATAAAACTGTTTCCTGCTGTCTTCGGTGCCTGGCCTCATCTGTCCCTACAACAATATGAAGAGCTAGAGAGACTCCCCTTCATTTCCTGGGCTGCAGAAATAATCAGACAACACAGGACACATCGGCTCTGGGAAACCCGGACCTTACCACCGCAATTTCAGCCAGTGAAAGGTGAGGGAGGGTGGTCCGTTACAGCTGCCCCCTCCACTCCGCCCTGCCCTCCTCCTCCCCCAGAGCGTGTCTGCACCAGGCGAGGGCTCCTGGCTGTGCTAAGGCCTGAAGCTCTCAGTCCCTGACTCAGTTAACGCGTGGGGGACCATCCCTCTGCCCAGGGGGACACTGCTCCTGGAGGGTTGGTCACCTGCTTAGAAGCAGGACCTGGGTCCATGCTTTTCTAGAATCTACTGGGCAAAACCAGGAGAAGGCTCAAGAAGGGGAGGCGTCCAGGATGTTAGGCCTGAGGACACACGGAAGGTAAAGATGGCAGACGGACATCTCCCTTGACATTGAACTCACCTTTGGCCCTGGGGGCCCAGGGAGCCCTGGGGGGCCGGGCTCACCCCTGCCTCCTCCAATAGAGTTGCCAGCGTCACCTTTCTCTCCCTGGGGGTGGAAGGCAGGGTTACTTCACCCCTCCACTAGCTCCCTCGCCTGCTGCTTCCTCCCCTTACAGCCAGAGGACAAGCAGGAGGCCACCCCTCGGGCTCTGCTGAGTGCAGGAGGACACTATGGGCCCAGGGGCTCTAGCTCTGGGCTCCAGATCCCTGGTCTGCTGTGCATGGAAAGTGTGGCCCTGGTCACTGAGGCGGGACAGGATTACAACTGAAACCACAGACCTATCAGCTCCTGCGACTATGTGGTGTTTCTCAAAGTGTGTTCTCTGGAACACTCCTCAGTGGGCTCTTTGTAATGTGAAAAAGGGTCGGAGGCTAACCACATTGAGGAGTGGAGCCTGACGGGAAGCTTTGGCAGCTCCTCTGCTGTGGGTGCTCAGAGCCTCTAGCAGGCTGAGGTGTACCGTGACTTCCCAAGGTGCCCATCTCGTGCACTTCTCCCCAGACACATGTGGCCTTGAGTCTCTGTAAAATGAAATATCCTTCAGAGCTGTGGACTGTGGGCAGGTTTTCAGAGCGTGTACAAAGACATCTCTCCCGGGCAGGGTGGCGCACACCTGTAATCACAGCAGCTCGGGAGGTGGAGGCAGGAGGATCGTGAGTTCAAAGCCAGCCTCAGCAACTTAGCAAGGCCCTAAGCAACTCAGTGAGACCCTGTCTCTAAAAAGGGCTGGGGATGTGGCTCAAGGGTCAAGCTGTGCTCATACGTACACACAAACTGGGTTCCCTGGGGCCACAGTGTGTTCAGATGGCCCTGGTACCAAAAGAAGAAGGAGGAGGAAAAAAGAAATCTCCTCAGGTCGTAGCTACCTAGATTTTTGTATTGGGGCAGATTTTTGGTACACCAGAGCCTATCTGTGGCCCCTTCTCCCCGATTTGGTAGAGGGACACCTCTAATGTGAGGCCCCAGGAAATGTGTGGGACCAGGAAGGACCAGGGGCCTTGCAGGGAGCCCGCCGTTCAGAGCTGGCACACACCTACCTTCTGTCCCAGAAGACCGGGGAGCCCAGAGGAACCGGCAGCCCCCTTCTCGCCCTGCGGGGAGACAGTACGGGGTGGGAAGTGTCTTAGGGCCTTGCTCTCCTCGCTCCTACCTGGCCCTCCTTGGGCTGATCTCTCAAGGGCTCCACTTCCAGGTCCCATTTGGATTGGCTCCTTCACTGGGCCACTTCACGCTGGTGACAAACTGCATCCCTGCTCTCCCTGTTCCCACATGACCTTGGCCCTCATCTCTCATGTGACGGAGGAGTGACACTGGCCACACACATAACAAAGGCCAGCAGCCTTGAGACCCTCTGGGGAGAGCGGGAAGTCTGAAGACCCACTGCTTGGGGGACCCCTTCTTTCCTGAATCTGCTGTGCCCTTCTTCATGTCCCCATCATCTGTCCCTTAGAGTTTCCCTGCTGACATTTCTGCCCACCTCCTCCTACCTCTAGGAAGACAAAACCCATCTAACTGAAACCTTCTTTTCGAAGGAATATTTTGAAAAGTCTGTGTCCTATTGTGGGTCAAATTATCTCCCTCCAAGCTCCCGTGTTGAAGTTCTAGTCCCCAGTGCCTCACAGTGTGACCTTATTTGGAACCAGGGTCATTGCAGATGTAATTGGTTTAGATGAGGTCGTACTGGGCTAGGGTGGGCCCCTAATCCAGTGTGCTAGGGGCCTGCAGACACACACCTAGGGAGAAAGCCCTGTGAGGTGGAGGCCGAGGTGGGTGATAGTTCTGCAAACCAGGGGTCACCAAAGATGGCCCCAACTACCAGCAGCTAGGAGAGAGGCACAGGCAGATTCTCCCTCCTAGCACCCGGAAGGAAGCATCCCTGCCAACACCTTGGCTTTGGACTTCGAACCTCTAGAACCTCTAGAACATACTTCTGTTGTTCTATACCCTAGTCTGGGGTACTTTGATACAGCAGGTCTCTCACCACCTTCTCCCTACGACATGCATTAGAAAGGCCCTTAGAGATACTTGAACCCCAGTTTCATTTCACAGAAGCAAGCCAGGACCCAGCAGGTCACCTGGCTGTGGACAACCCTTGCTGAGCGGGTCCAGCCCGGGTCACCTGCTGCTCCGCTTCCTATACACACAATCTTCTCTGCCTTCACTGGGACTACATTACTCATTGTGCGCTGTTGGAACAATCCCGTAGCCTGGGTGGTCTGTCTCACACGCCCCAGAAGCTGGAAGGCCTGAGACCAGGGTGCAGCCTGGCTGAGTCGGGTGAGGCCTGCTCACTGGCTAATGGCTGCCTTCTTATTGTGTCCTCACAGGGCAGAGAGAGAGAAAGATCTCTCTTCCCCTTACAGGGCCACCCCTTGTATTAGGAGACCACCCTTATAACCTCATTTGGCCTTAATTATCTCCTTGTTCCCTAGTACAGTCATCCTGGTGTCAGGGTTGGACCTAGAATCTTGGGGACACAATTTAGTCCACAGCAGTGTCCGAGGTCAGGTACGCATCCCAGCAGTGTGACATGAGAAATTCCTGTCTAAACAGAGCTGAGGGACAGCGGTATTTGTGTCTACAAATGTAGACACAAACTGGGTGCTCTGGGACCACAATTTGGTCAGATGTCTCAAAGAACTTTCTAGCTGGAGCCACAAAAGATGCCACATTAAGGCTCTCGATGTCACCCCCTGTCTGCGTGCCCTTGTGTAGAGGCTGAGTGGTAAATGGCCGGGAGCTGCCCAAGGAGGGCCAGGTGGTGCCCTGTGATGGGAGGGAGGTGAGTCCTGTCCTGCTGGGCTGGTCTCCATTGTGCCTTGACCAGAATGGGCCATGTCTAAAGGGGAAGGATGTGGGTCCAGCCTAGGAGGTCCTCCAGGAACAGGACGGGGACACAGGCTCTCCTGCCTGCTGGGCTTCTGTTGGGGAGCTGAGGGCTTCCAAGAGGGCTGTGTGTTCTCAAGTGTGAGTTTCTGCAGCTCTGCTGGGCCACCTGCCAGTCCCCTCTTCCTGGGACACGTGACCCGCAGCACGTTGCAGGGAACATCAGCCACAGGGACACAACAGGGGCCAGTGAGGCCAGGTGAGGGGCTCAAGCTCAAGACACCATCTATTGGGCTGGGGATGTGGCTCAAGCGGTAGCGCGCTCGCCTGGCATGTGTGCGGCCCGGGTTCGATCCTCAGCACCACATACCAACAAAGATGTTGTGTCCGCCGAGAACTAAAAAATAAATAGTAAAAATTCTCTCTGTCTCTCTCTTTCTCTCACTTCTCTCTTTAAAAAAAAAAAAGACACCATCTATTACCCACTGCCCCCTCTTTCTGGGTAAACCTGGGGGCCCCAGGTTCCCCTGCTGCTCCTGGGTCCCCTTTGAATAAGACATTGATAAGCGAGATTGATAAGCGAGGGGAGGGGAGCGGTTGGCAGTGATCAAAGACCAGTGCTCCCAGGAGACTGGTCCCCTAAACTTCT